CTTCGAAGATTTAGATAACAGACTAAACACCTCGTCTGGAATGGAGGGGATCCACCGGCATGCCTTTGATCTGTTTGCATATGGTCCCATCGGAGGTGCAGAGGGTTCTGTGGCAGCGTTTAAATGGTTCCAAGCGATTGTGATTTATAGGAATGTCTTGGACACCACCATAACATTCACAAAGTAAACCGTTCAACTTCTGGACTGCTAATGTCTGTAAAAAGAGTCAACCCTTAGGCGGTCTATGTGACTGAGAGTCTAAGGACCTCACGTAAGTTGCGGAGAATAAAACCACGTTGAAGAAACCGACCGAGAACTACAGGCGATGAACGAGCATCTTACGGCAGTTCGAAGCGTGGGTCGGAATTTACGACATTGGTAGGCAACGCTTACCTGGTCGTGACCTGGACATTGGCGATGTTAACATCCTTGGCCATACATAAGAATTCCTTGTCATTAAAACAAGTGAAGTCGTGGCAGTCCGTTCCCCAAATTCGCCAGCGCCGCCGCTAACCCGTGTCGCATTCTGTCAGCCTAGCGCGTCTGACAAGAACTGTGTACGCGTGCGTAATCCAATCCTTAGCCTGCAACGCCGATCGGTATTTCCCCCTTCACTGATTGGCTGCAACCGGATGAAACTCAATCGTATGTGTTTTGGCTGCCACTTGTCTGGTGGAGAGGTTTGCCCAGCTACCTGTACGCTCCCTCGCTGTAGTAAAGCTTATCCACCTGGCTGTCTTCCCGCTCCTTTGGTTTGAGGACCTTTGAGTTGTCAATTACCGTATATCGACAAGGTTGCAGGTCCCTTTCTAAGGAGACTTGCTGTTTTGTGATAAGGTGACGGATCTTTGAAAAATAATCAAGCGATCTATTTTAAAATCAGCTCATTTGCGTGTTCTGGTGAGCATTTATTTGCAAACCGGGATGGCCTACGTGTTCGTATTTTAAACAGTTGTGTTCTGGGATCAGTCCTAAATATTCCAATTAGTCGGAATGTTTGTTTGCGGGCACATTTGTTTTGTTTGTGTTTTATGATAAAACATAACTACACTACCATCCAGGACAAATGTTGGATCGCCAGAAGGAGTTTGCTTTTGCTAGTTCGAGTGAAGCTCATTTACCTTTGTCATCTGCGCAGGCTGAAAGGTGAGACTTTCCCAGATATCGCCATACTTACTGCCCTGTGAAATAGGAGCAGACACAGCATCCGTAAATATCCCGGCGGCAGTGATATCGAAATAACAACCAAACGGAATTTCAGCAAAAATCCCCTTGATGCCGTTATTCCGACACCTGCTGGTGCTCACTGGCTCTAAAAGTAGCAAATTTTTGCAATTAAGCGTCTGTAAGTAAATATATTATTACTATTTCAATTCCGTTCCAACTAGGTATAAAATCCTCCAGAACTGTCAGTGGTGTTTAAGCCACGTAAGAACATTTGACGTATTTCCAGAGGCTGGAAAGAATTCTTCAGGAAAAATTCTTGCGAAATGTCGCCCAAAATAAGAGAACTTATTGAGGGCGACTGCCCTCGATAGAAGCATCACACAACTAGAGCATGCTTTCCGTGGGATAAAGTCGGACTGCCGACTATCCTGATGTCGAGTTCTGTTCTCAGTCTTCAATGTAGAACAATTAGGACTGAAATCTGCGAGACACGATCGGTGTGTCGTCCTTTCTGTCTCTCAAAGCGAATGTATTTTTCTTGGCAGCTCGACTGCGCTTTGCGGCCCACCTTTTCTGATAGTACGGATTTTCCGTGTGTTACAGCCTGTTTTCTTTAAATTTTTGATTCTTTACTTTATGAACATATTAATTTACGAATTTATGTGGCTTATGATATCTTCCTGCTAACCAGTCAGTACCACTTGTCTTAGTCAGAGTTACCGCTTCTATTCAGAATTTCCCATTGGCCCTGGTGTGTGATAACCATTACCGTATTTGTTGGAAGTATGGATTGTGCCGTTCCACCAACATATTAACAGAGTTGTGCGCATGGGACGTTTGTCGAAAAACCGTCTGCAACACTGAATTAGGGCTGTTAATAGAGGAGATATGGTGAATGCTATCAACATCGACTTTAAAAGAGGCCTTTGACGGTGTGTCACACCACCGCCTTCTATACAAACTCAGCCGTGAAGGAGTGCGAGGTAAGCTATTGGTGTGGATTCGAAGCTTTTTACTCGGCTGCTCTCAAGCCGTCCACGTCGGTGACCAGCAATCTGTCGAGGTTGCCGTTAGGAGTAGTGTTCCCCAAGGCTCTGATCTTGGCCCTGCACTGTTCCTTGTATACATCAACGACTGAGCAAACTAACTGGATTGCGATGTCGCAATGTTTGCCGATGACATAATGATCTGGAGCACCATACGAAGCGAAGTCGACGATGCGCGACTGCGGGCAAATCTGGACCACCTCGAGCAATGGTCGAAAGTCTGGCTTCTACCGTTCAACGTAAACAAGTGTAATTTCCGACGCTTCGGCAGAACCAGTTCTCCTAACCGCAGGTCTACCGTCTGACTGGCAAACCACTGCCAGAAGTCGACTCCCAGAAGGACTTGGGTGTACGGATCACAACCTCACTTAAGCCTTCTCTGTAATGCTCAAAGATAGCCAAGTCGGCGATGTCCATGCTATACCTCGTCAAACGGGCGTTCTCTTACTTTGATGAAGGCTGCTTCGCCAAGGTCTTTCAAACTTTTGTGCGACCGCATCTGGGATTTGCTATCCAAGCATGGAGACCCTGGACCGCTAAAGACTTCGGCATTCTCGAAAAAGTTCAACGGCGAGCAACGAAACTTGTAATTGGACAGTGGTCACTACCCTACGAAACGCGATTAGCTAATATTGACCTCTTTCCTTTGAGTTGCAAACAGCTACGTGTGGACCTGATACAAGCTTTCCGCATCGTGCGTAATTAGGGCTGCTGCTTCGCATCAGGAGACTTCTTCGAGTTGGCAACCACGACTAACCTGAGAGGCCATCTAATCAAACTGCGTGTGACTGGTGCCCGGCTAGACACACAAAAGTTCTTCTTCTCCAACAGAGTTGTTTCAGTTTGGAATGCTTTGCCTGAGGATGTTGTTGTGTCGGGATTCGTAGATATTTTTAAACGAAGGCTAGATCAACATTGGAGCGCGCGCCACAATAACGCCGGACTACGGTCACCTTGATAGCCAATGTTGAAAATTTAGTGTTATAACCACGTTACTACCAACATTTAAGTAACATAAGCCTATGTAATTTATTACTTTTGGGCCACGTCGCACACCGCTGCTCGCATTCACCACGATGTCTGCAGACTGGAAAACTTTACTTCTTTTCTTGTATCTTACGTGTGCTTCAACTGTCTGCTGCATTTAATCAACAGACCGAATTTATGTGCCTCCAACTTTTGTTAACGCATGACATTCTGTGTTCATCTGTAAGTTTTTGTTATTCCCCTTGTATTTCTTTCATGTTACTTCCTTTCCTCTTTCTCCATATACTCTCTCTGCATGTAACCAATAGGGATTTCAAAGGTATGCGCCTACTTTCCCTGAAATACACTGATACTGATACTGAACCAAACAATAAAAGGCTTTAATTTTGAGATAGAAAAAGAGATTTTTATTAATCTCCCTATGATGCCACAAAAATTGTCCCAGTCATTAGGCTTGTCACTTATTCAGCACAATCTACAAGTGTGGCTGCGATGGCTCCCACACACAACTGCCGACGATTCGATAATTTTTCTTTGTATGTGGCTTCTGACTTTCTGTGCTGCGCATTTGTGCAGTCCAGCGCATCAAATGTTCTGCTTGGTAAAACGTCTGGCGTATTACTTAAGGTGATTTTCAAAAAAGTAACCTCAAAAACTAAGCTCCAAATTATGAAAGCTTACATAGCCTGAACGTTCTTTCGCTCCTTTTAACTTGAAAACTTGACTGTACACGAGACTAACGACGCCCGTGGTGCATCTGCCCTTGCGCTAAGCTCCCGGGGAGTGCCCATTCTCGTAATCCAGATTCGACCTTAGCCCTAACAGCAGCCCTCAAAACCATAAACCTACCCCTAACTTCCCCCGGGACTAAGCGCAAGACCGCACGTGATACTCTCGTGCGCTAACAAAGGCTTCTCTGGATGCTCACGACCCTCACATCTAACGGCGAGATTGCAAGGTTACAGATGATAGATTTTGGAAGGATTACATTCCCCAAATAAATTTACAGATGACAATGATGACGCAACATGCTGAATTCAATGACGCATGTCATTACGAGATGTCATAAAATTTTGCGTATTTTACTTGTTCGGAGCTAGGTTCGGCTTTGCAATGTTAATACACAGTCCGCCTGATTCAAGCATTATGAATTTACCCCGCCATGTTTCTTCGAATGAGACACGCTGCTAGCTGTGTTGGCCGACAACTAATGGCGTGTTTCCACTTCTGAGAGCTGTCTTACGTAAAATGAAAAGTTAATGACGACAAGTAGAAGGAGGTGAAAATTTTAAGTTTTGTTTTATTTTTGTTGCCAGCCAGATAGCCATAATCTGATTCCAGGCCTAAATCGCCTGGGTCTCGAAACCAGGTGCAGGCGTTCAGGGTGTTTAGCGCCTGCGAGGATCCTAAGTCGGCGTTACAGGGCAGAATTCCAAGTCAGTAGTCAGGCCAGATTGTGCAATGGCATTCCCATAAACCATTGTCTCACGTTTAACTGGCGAACATAAATGGACGTAGAGAAAAAACCCGCAGCACACGTCAGTTTATGGAAGTCTTAGCACCTAAGTTGGAGGAAGGGAGGGAAGTGCCGTAACGAATGGTAACTATTATCCCTGAACACTCAAACGAAATGCCGTTCGCTATTATCCGTCAGACGGAAGTCCTGAAAGTAAAGATGAGGTTTCGTTACGTCACTTATTCCCTAACGGAAAGTGAAAAAACGTAGGGTATTAAGTTGGGGTAGACGTTACAATGGTGGGAGGGGCAAATCCTGTTACTCCTTTCAAAGGTTTCGGGCTTTTAATTCAGTAAGCCTCTACCCTTCATGATGCCGCGTGAAATCGCAGAGGCTCCGCACAGGTAACGCATTTTGGCCAGTGGTTTCTGCTCCGTCCATCCTCTGGATTCAGCGCCGTCTCTGTCTTGTTGAGAATTCAATGGTTGGCTCAAGGATTCAACTGTCTGGCCATTCTCAATAGCATTTCCGAGATCACCTAAAGCATGATGGGTTAAATACGTCTAAACAAATTTACTAACGCAAAGATGACAAAAAGTAAGTAATGAATGTCTTCTTTGTAAGTCAACCTGGATATTCTAAAACCGCCTCCTTGGACTTTTGCGGTTTGTATGAGTAAGTTGACCCAGAACCCGTAAGAATCGGGCTCGCCTGTAAAACCCTTACAGAAACCTAATAGTTAACCATGATTTGAGAAATTTTTCCAGCACACCATGATAAACGAACACCTGTTGTACAGATGATACACAAGGTTGAATGCATCACAAAGAAGATTTGAAGAAAGGATTTCACAGTTTCCACTGAACGGGAGGTTTTTTTACTTATCGACATTTTACAAAACATTTGCAATTAATTTAAGAAAGGCATACACACGACAATGGGAACTAACGAAAGAATAATTGATTGCCTAGACTGATATGAATTCTGTAATTTCAACTGTTTCGGACACGCTGCAGTCCAGTTCTACAACCACTAAGATACTACGAGCCAACCCACCGTACGGGACCGACAGAATTTGTATCTACGGACGCTGGGCGACGACCGGGTATGTGGTCCTACTTAGTTATTAGTAGGCCTGATGCACACCATAAGAAATCCCAACATTCGGGGTGCGGTGGCAAGCCCAGTCGCCGGCTCAACTGGGATCACTGCCGCCACCACTGTTGTTGACGGTTAAAATCATGGCCAAGAATTCGTTGTGGACCAGGTGGTGCGCCTATGTGGGGGTCCGGCCGCGCCAACGACCTGCGCCCTCTCCTGCCTTCGGGCTTGTCTCTGTGTTGACGCCGGCCCAGATGGGGGAGGAGGAGGGAATGCGGTAGATGTTGTTCAAGTCTACCATTACTATAAACTAATCCACGCGCAAGTCACCGTCCCTGTCCTCAACCTGTTGTGGAGCACATGGTGGTCATCGTGGAAATGGGCGGCCGAACTGTCAGTTACTGGCGAAGACAGAAGTGACAGCATGATATGGCCGGCGGTGATCTGCCGCAAGTTTCATGGGTCTGCGCGAGGACAGTGTAGGTAACTGTGGCGATCGAGTCCGGTTTATGTCGGCACTCCAGACACTGGTTCGCCATTGCCTGTGCGATGGATTCGCAAGTGACCTATCATGCCGATGCGTGAAGCGAATGCGCGATCGCAATGGGGACAGGTTAGGATCGAGTCGACATCGCTGGAGATGGAGGTGGCAATCGTGAGGGTGGTGCGCGAAGGGCCGTCGGGAGAGTTTTGTCCGGCAAACGGAGTGGAGGCCTCGGTGGTCGCCATCGTCACAACAGAGGTTTTGACATTGATGGTAGAGGTGAAGATGGTCAACGTGGGAAGGACAGGGGGTCAACTACAAAAGAAATCGCGCACAGGTCCCCGTGTCTGCCCTCATCCTGCGGAGGAGCGCACGATGGGCATCATCAGTCACGACGGTCTAGCTTCCGCCGTCTTGTCAGTGGGGTCACACATCCGATCATCATCATCAGTAACTTGCCTGGTTTGAAATACCGGACAGTTGATAGCTGAGAAAGCTGCGCTACTGGGAAATTAGAGTAAACAGGTGGATAACATGAGCGCCGTCAATATTATTTAGAAACACTACTAGGCGTTGTCCATAGCGCACGTGTACTTTTGCGTTTAGTAATCCAGATCAATTATACTACAGTTAGGTTTGCCAGTGTCTTCTGACTTTCATGTCATAGATTTTTGCAGTTTGAGTGGACGTCACTCGATGTCTCCTTAGTGATGATGGGGCTGGCTATGACAAAATGCAGGCGTCGCAGTGTGTTTTTCAGAGCTGCCCTTAACTTTTCCACACGTCTGTTTAGTACACGGAACTCAGATGTCCGCATGACAGATATTTGATCGCTTTTCAACGAAGAAACCTGTCATAGTGCATTAGATTACAACCGCTTTCCTATAGCATTACATACGAGAATCGTAGAGGGCAATTCGCATCTTCCCTCAGGCAAGTTACAAGACATGGATGAGTTTAAAAAGCTCTTGAAACTTTCGACAGAGCTGTTGCGCAAATATATAAGTTAAATAACCCAAATGATCCTCTCCAGTCCCCACGTTCAGCACAAAAAGCGGTCGGTCTAGCACAAAAGGTTATTCAGGCGATTCAAAATAGGTTCCCGCTTTAACTAGGGTGCGAAGATAACTAACCTAAAGTCAACACTGTCGTAGTCAATCTCGGTGTATCAGGATATTCTCCAAACTAAGTGTGTTTTCTATGGCTGATGGGATATTTAGAACTCCGCATTTTGCTAGGTCACTGGAGTGCAATATATTTTCCATAGCAGCGCTCTGGCTGTTATGGTAATCCGAGGAATATGTCCTTTTTAATACGCATTAACGAAATAATTGACTTATGACCACTGTAACTTCCTTCTAACGGCAAGCTAAGAGTCTCCAGGGCAACTGCGTCTTGAGCAAAGAAAGGTTACGTAGGCGACGATTGAAAAAAGGTGACTTTTAGTTGTATTACTATAACATATCTACTTATGTGACTTAAGTAAGCTTGTTATGCTAGGGTTTATCGACAGTTAAAGGTTCAGAGTTAGGACTAGGATACAGGGTTGGCATCCGAATTTCGCTGTTAGGGTTAAAACTTACCACTGGTGTTTAGGGTAAGGGCTGTGTCTAGACTTACAGGTAGTGTTAGAATTAGAGTTAATATTAAGTTTGTCTGCCGCTCACCGTTCTACCCCCATCCGGCCTCATGTAACCTGCGGACTACCTGTGTTAGGCCCGTTTACATGCCCCTAATCCGCATCTTTTTACTGTGCTACGACGTCTCACTGAGGTAATAAAACGAATATATGATAAATATTCGAGTTTTCAGAGTTCATTTTGCCGATACGTTTAGCTGTCTAGTCCACCTGTCCTACTAACAAAACTACTATTAATATCCCTACCTTATTAGAGGAGTCTCTGTGCCTGTAGCAGCCTTTTCTCTGTCCACTCGTCCTACTGTATACGCGCCACGGTTGCGCTCGCTAACCCTCGATTTGCACTCCCGTCCACGCCACACTCCTGGTCGATAACCTGCCACTACCATCCCGTGCTCTCGAAGCCAATTAATGCGATCTCTTTCGCTGATTGGTTACAAGTGCGCACACGGGACGCCGCCCTTGCGGACGTGATTTTGAACAGACAGGACAGAGGCAAGAATGACTCAACACTTTTTTGGTGGTAGCAACACACTGAAGGCTCCGAAACTGACGCTCTCCAGAACGAACGCTTATCTCTGCCATAAGCATACAGCCAACTTTCGGCGACCTGCCCTGTGTACAGAATAAACCCGTTCTCACAACTTCCTGGCTTCTGCCACTAGACGGAGTAAAATTATTGTGTGTGGTTTAAGTTGATCTCACGTCCTTGGCCACTGCATGCCCTCTTTTATAACTCGGCCTACATATTCAATACTTGTCACCTCTTACTTTGTTACGTATTTCCTATATATAGGCTATCTAAAATCTTTGCCGAGAAAGAGTTTGTTTGGTAGTTAGGGAGCTCAATAGCTTGCTTTTTCCGGGATGTTTTGCATTCGGTGCTGAGAAGGCTTTACAGAAAAAATAAACCAAGATTTGCTTTGAGGACCAAAAATGTTCGGTGAGAACAAAGTGCCTACTGAGACGACGACAATGGAATCATCACTGTAGGGTGTGATTCCAAGTCCTCGTTTCAGCATCAAATTTCTCGAGAACATATTATGAAAATGATAGTTTTACTTAAAGCCCTGTGAGGCATTCACTGACGTTTTCTTATTTCACGACGGTCCTTGTTATGACTTCAGCGTATCAATGGGTATATCAACTTTCGTAATTTGTTGTCTGGTCGGTAAATCGGTTTTATTTAAGGCTGAAAAGTACTCAATCAAAAGGGGGAAGGGACTGGAGTTTCACTACCATACCAAGAATAACGTGACGAATGCGGTGGTTCCAAATGTCATCAGGCTCAGATAGGTGTATGCGCTGTCTCACACCTATAAATGTGCGTCGGACAGGCGTCTGGGTTTCTGACAAGTGTCGCTGATAGGATTACAATTAACAACAGCCCCTGTTTGAAGCTTGATTTTTCTAGTTGCCAAGTAGGTAAGTATAGGAATTCGGCATTTAGTGCACATTATTAAGGCCAAGAGTTATTATTAAACGCTGAATTAGACGCAGTAGTTTTGTCTGAAACAGCTGGACACGATTGTCTCTCGTGTCGGCCGGAAGCGTCCTAGACATTTTACAATTTACGTTCATGATTGTGTTGGACAATCTTACGTTAACGGAAAGTAACTTCGCAAATTTCGGATGCAAAGACTCAGGACTTTAGTAAACATTAGAATCTCCTTCGCAAAAAATGATATCGTGCACTCAAAGTAAATTGGAAGATGCCTGGCAAAATGTTAAACCATATGGAAATAACAGTCCTCTTAGAGTTTCCTCGAGGTTAACAGTTGAAATTGTCCATAGGTGGACTGAGGCAATGAATAAAACTGACTGACGGATTCCTTACCAGATACCTGCATGCATTTTCACATTACCGTTAAATTTAATTTATGTTTCGCTTGGCTTACTGCTATAGCAGAAAATCCGGTTCTGACCCTCTTATTATCTGTTACAAGAATAGCTGGTAACAATCGGGAGATGGCACCCAAAAAATCCGCCTAACCAAAGCAGCCTGTCTTACGGGACAGGTTTTATGGGTGGTGGCTGGTCGGGATGTACGATACTAGCCGACAGAAAGCCTTATTTGAACAGGTGAATAATCGAAGTTGGCCCGCTCTCCGTTCCATTATTACAAAATGGATCGCCAAAGGCAGTATAGTGGTAACGGACGAGTGGAAGGTGTATAATCGTCTTCCCTCAGAAGGTTATCTGCATTTCTCTGTTAACCACTCAAAGAACTTTAGAGACCCTACCACCGGACGGCACATCAATGCCATTGAGGTATACTGGAGTAGACTGAAAAGGAAACTCCACGAGGGAGGCCCTGTATGTGGTCGAGTTGTGTGGGCTCACATAGACGAAGTACAGTATCTTCTTGGGTTTGGCCTCAATGCCATGTCTTTGTCAGATGCCTGGGAACTGTTCCTGTCCCATGCTGTGCAGACTTATTCTATTTAAAAATGTTTTTCTTTTGTGATAAACTGCCATAATGCGATTGTATGCCGTATATTCAGGTGTACGTGTGTAACGATGGGGAAGGTTGGGTAACAGCGACCATCGTCCATGTAACCTCCTGCGATGTTCGTTCGGCCAGCCCATGTTAGGCCGTCGCGGAAAGTCCAAGTAGTGCGTGAAAGTAGGCCTGTAACCGCTGATATAGCCTGAAGGCGTTTGAGTGCACTAATAAAGGTATTATTTCTAGGTAACGGATTTTTTGGGTGCCATCTCCCGATTGTTACCGAATAACTTTAACGTACGTTCCCGAAAGAGGCGTTCGGAGGAGACGTGTGTATTAGGGGCTTAAAACGATAATAATTATCCTGAATGCACATCCTCAATTCTACGCCAAGAAGAAGCTACTTACAAACAAGGAGAAGCAGTCGCGAAAATCGGAAAGTTTTCTCAATGCAGATCACTTACCAACAGCGAAAATGCTTCTGGAGCAGGCGACCATGTGAAATAGATACCGATTGTGGCGCATGTTTGTCAGTCGTGTCCACTGACCCTGCGGATTACTGGAGTCCGGGGGCATGAAGACTTCCACCTCGTTGACGAAGCCGTCCTGGCCGTTGTAACCACCGCCGAGGATGATTTTTCCGTTAAAGGCACAGACGGCGCGTCCAGTGTAGGCATTAAGTACTGGTGCTGCGTTTCGCCAAAAGTCCTTGCTAGCAGGCATGTTTTCCGATGACAGTTCACTGCGTCCGTCGCCGCTGGGGAATGTGCAGAATTCCACGGAGGTCATTGGACCCGTGTAAGAGCTGTATCCACCAATGACAAAGAGGCGTTTGTCAGGAAGAGCTGCGACCGCAGGCCGATAGCGGGCCTCCAGCATTGGTGGAAGGAGCTGCCATCTGGATAGAAAACACACAACTTGATTGTGTACGCACTTGTCTGCTCAATTTTCCGCACAAAACACACGTACATTACGGGAATGCGGCCATTTTGCCAACAGGTCTAGAGAACTATTAATTTTCACGTTGGCATGTTCCCGCATGAGACCTCATCGCATAACTTGCAAAGGAGTATTTGCACTTTGCCATGAAGAAGATGTTAACAGTCGCTAAATGCGCATTCACGGACCAGGTCACGGGACGTGCTCATCCTCGTAGAACCCTCTCAGGCAAGCGAACTGCGATCACCACTGATACCACTTTGCGCGGTCATCCCCTAAAACTACGCGCAGAGAAAGCAAGGATCAATGGGCGAAAGTTCTTTTGCAGTAACCGAGTGGTTGCAGCGTGGAATGCCCTGCCTACCGATGTTGCAATCTCCTCCTGTGTGAATTCCTTTAAGCGTCGACTTGACGCCCATCCAGCTTTCCAATTACCAGCCTTACATCCACTCCCATAACCAGCACCAACTTATACGTGCTTATACTACTTGTAATTAGTAAGTAACGGTTAATGATCACTATTTTGCGACTAGCTGTCAGCTGTCCGCGATTATGAACAAAATTCCTTTTTCACCTTCCTCCCTATCAATGTTTTTCTCCGACGACTTGTAACCAATAGGGAGTTCGAAGGCACTCGCCTATATTTCCCTTAATAAACTGAAACTGAAACGAAGGAATACGTACAAAGACGAGGGCCACTGGGGCGCGTTAAACAGCCGTCTCCAATCGGCCATACACAATCCCGGAGTTGTATGCCCTAGAATTGAAGTCCGAATTTTCGGCCATTAAGAATCACGTCCAATGATCTACTACTAAGCAATGGATTCGTCGTCTTGTCGGTTGCGGCTGGGAATATTAACTATGATGGGAAGGCGTTCACCGTTAAGGCTACGGGACATGCTCGTCTTGTTGTGTCTCGGGATTCAGTCTAGGGCCTTTACAAGCAGTCGCATAGGAAGCAGTAATGTTGCAGAAATGAATACCGACAAAGACATCGGGGCGGGGGGAATCGTTTCCAACTTATTAGACGTCCTCGGCCAGCCAATCTGGAGCCAAGGCTTGCACTATCCAGGATTCAACTCGGATTTCTCGATTACTGGGCGTTTTTAAGTCCAACGTCGTACCAGTGAGCTACGGAAAGGATATTGTTTTCGAACGTGGTGGTTTACTTTTTTAAAATTGTGAAAGTGCTTTTCTTTCTTTAAAGGAGACTCGTAAGCCAAAGGTATTGCTTTTATATGCAAAATAAATCAAGATTTACCAACAGGGAGTTGTGTATTTTTGAGCTTTACATAAAAGTGCCAAAACATTTGGAGCTCGAAGAAACCTAAGGAGACAAATATTGTAAAATTACCCTATAAAGTTTGTCATTTCCATCATGAGAACTTCATTCACCCTTAGTTACACGAAATATTGAAAAGGTTAACTTATAAAGGCTGTTGTGCACAGAGTTAAATTACTTGATAAGTTGAAATCTCACCGCATGTAAGTAAACACTAAATGATATTTTGCCATTATTCAGCTTTAGTCGACGAAATTTGGCTAACCGAATACAAGAGAATTTGTATCAGGTCCACGAATTAATTTGCAATGGAAGTGGAGACTTTTCACTCAAAAACCGCAGACATTTTTTATGAGAAATGGTAGGGTTTTTCCTTAAAACATGTTAGAGGCATGAGTCAGCTGCCGATTAAGTCAAGAAAAGGTTTCAATTTTCCGCTAAGGTAAGATGAGAGATCGGAAGAATATCCAGCGGGCATTGAAGACGCTGCGGACAAAAAATTCATGATTTCTGGGCTTTTAAGCATCCCATTTAAAATGCTTTAACTTCAAACAAGGCTACCGAACAACGTGGATTTGACGTTTTATGACAAGGCGGTATTTTTGCAGTAAGAGGCCAGGTTGGATGAAGACGTTGGTGTATAGTAACGTAGAATGAAATGGTATGCAGTGTATACAAGCAGGCTAAGGAAAGAGCCGAAAGGGGAAAATTGAGAAGGGGTAGCGAAAGAGGAAAGATAGCGGGAAGGAGGAGGAGGAGGAAGAGGAGGAGGAGGAGGAGGAGAGGAAGGCGAAGGAGGGGTGAAAAGTTACGAAAAAGCCGAGGGGAGAAAGAAAAAGGGGAGATTTAAGCAGTTAATGAATTAATACTTGTCATCTATGTGCGGCTGTGCAACTCGAACTTAGCACTTACGAAACCAGCCTCGATTTAAAAAGGCTAAGGTAGGTTAGTTCTTCTTTAACAGTTGTCCATGGTGACTTTTCAATGAAAATATCCGCCATTAAAGAAGGATGTTAACGAGCAATACCGCGCTTCCGTACAGAAGACTAACTGGAGAAACAAACGAGGCGAAAATTAAAGGGTCAGCGACGCAATTTTAAGCAGTTATAAGTGTGCCTCCGCGACCAAAATCCTAATTACTTTGACAGGCACAAGATTGGATTGATTTTAGTGCAGACAGCTAGTGCCCACAGAGTCAAGCATGACTGAGGACTTCTGAATCTAACTTCGCTCGGTAATAGGCATACCTCCTTAACACCTTAGTAAGAAAAAACCGCATGTCCCCGACGTCCGACCTTTTACCTGCTAGAAACATCGCAATCCAAATCATAATCAAACTCTGGCGCAGTTTTTTTCGGAAGGCTGACAGTCACGAGAAGCCATCTAGCGCGTTTACTTCGTCGGAGTATTTTTCGCCACTTTAGCTCCAAATATTTCTGTAGGCGTTAAAGGAATTTCGGTTTTTTCCAAGTATATATGCTCCTTTGGTGAATAATGAGCAGAAGCTACGACCGAACATCTGGTCCATAACTTTGCTGATAGTCCTGCGTGAAGACCTTGTGGTCCTTTTGATAACAGTGGACTTCAAGCGAGAACTAATAAATTAAATCAAAAACTAGCTACTGTCAAGGCAGCCCCGTTAGTAGGCGCCAGCAACAACGCTGGAGAAGAAACCAAACTGGCATAAATCAGCATAGTGAGATTGCGGACAAAGACGAGGGAGCCTGGGATAGCCATTTTCGGTTTATTGGTTGTCGTCGCCATCCAGCCTTCTTCAATCCAAGTTTCGGGGCACTCGGGATTTTTGGTCATTGCCTATACTACTAGCCGCTGTGCGGTTGTCCTCGGAGCCCCAGAGGGACCCTAAAGCCTAACGAGACGAATGTATTTAGCAACCTGATATGTGAACGCACTTCCAACATGCAAAACTCGCCATGTTTGGCAGTTGGAAGTCCAAAAAATCATCAGCCCGTGGTAACATACAGTCCAAATCGTTTATTGGTTTATAAGTATCTGCAAGACCAGGTGTACTGAGTAATTCCAGAAAACGATCAAAATGCCGTTTCGATAGACTCAGAATTTAATCAAAATCTTCCGGCAAAGAGACACTTAATTACTCGCATATTAGTAAATGGTAATAACAACCCAAATATATCTTCCATTTAAGTGTACCCGAGTTCTTTTCATACATAAAAAGTACATACTTTTCCCATTCTCATTTGACCTCTGTCAGTATTTTTGATCTCGCGTGGTTCGTCGGTTTTAAAGTCAGACCTGTTGCATAACTTACGTTCATGTAGTCTGAATCGGTTCAGTTTTCGCAGATTGGGTTGAACAACCACTTTGACTTCAAACAACCTGATACCCAATTTTCGCCAAGTTAGCACCTGGAACTTAATAGACGACGGCTGGTCGCATCAGAGATACACTAAACGCAAACCGATTGTCGAGCGCTTTTTGCCGTATTCTGCGGTCTGGCGGTTTCCATAATTATTCCGTTTAAACTGCACGCGAACTTGGAACCATGGACATAAAGTGGCTGTTCAGCAAACGAACCCAGGGTCTAGAACGGATCGCGGTCGTGTAATATAGGATCACATATTCGATTTTGCTATCATCAATTCCGGTGAATAAGTCTAAAAGATGTAGCAATGGGGATAACGCACTTCTCTGCCTGATCAATATTGCAAAACATGTGCTGCTCATCTAATTTAAGTAGGCATGTTCAGTCACGGTTCACCCAGTAACAGACTGAAAGCCATTATGCGCTAATGGATCTTTAATCGGACAGTGGCCCTAACGCTAAACCTAACTCAAACTCTAAGCCTCACGCTTAGTCTACTTATCAGGATACGTTCTATGTTAGTCTAACCCTAATACTAGCACCAAGTCTACCCAGAATGCTGAAAGTTAGGCATATCTGTAACTTTTCGCCCGGTCTTACCAAGTAAGCCGCCCCTAAAACGAATGCCTGGCTTAATTTCAAACTTATTCCTTACTGTGGACCAGCACTTTCGATGGTTCTGTGCCAAATTGCAGGGATATTGCTTTTAGGGTTAGAGTAACTTTGGCGTTAAGGTTAGGATCACTGTTAGGCTTAACGCTAAGTTTAGGTTTAAAAGTAAGATTAGGGTAACGGGTAAGGTTAGGGGTAAGGTTTTGCGGTTAGGGTTAAGGGTTACGGGTAGCTCACGAAGGCATGCCTGAGGATATTTTTGGTGATTTCTAAGTCATAGGTGCCAGTAATGCTCTGAGTCGCGCGTTGAGCATAGTCACCTCACACAGACGCGCAGAACGGCTCCCTCACTGACTACTAACTAGCATCTGCCGCTTTGGTGAATGATTTCATACCGATATTTTCTTAATTCGCAGCCTTTTTATATGTTCTGCTTCTTTTTCGTCTCTAATAGATGTCCCTATTTCATTACCTTGACCTTTATTGCGTCTAATTTGGTTTCGTTTCACCGCCTACTTGCGAGTAGGCTAATCGGTAACATTCGTTCCTCTCACATTTTTAACTTATATGCTTGCGTTTACATTGATCGTCGGTGTACTGAAAGAAGATAATGGCGTGAATGCAATTTCTGAAATTCCTTCGCGAGTTATGTTGTACATGGCTTTATTTTGTCTCACCCCAGAAAACCTTATTACCATCATTCCTGTATTACAGGAGTTCCTGCTTTCAATTTTCTCAGTGGAGCCACGTAAGGTATCTTTGTCGAAAACGCTACAGAATATACCTTTAATTAATTATTCAAAAGATTTTCTTCCGACCAATCTGAAATATCTGAAAGTCATACGTGTTGTGTTTAGTCCTCGAGAGTTGTTTTCACTGCTTACTCGATCAGCACTATGTGTTTATTTTGAAAATGTCTGTAAAATGAAATTCAGTACACTTATTACTATAATTATAAACATAATTTAGTCACTTATCCCTCACCTGAAGTGCGCATATCAGCCTCATGGTTGAAGACTGTCGCCAAGATCCGTATAAGCAGCAGCGGAAACATCGCGTAAGTCTGGTCAGCTAGTTTCTGCATTTGTTTCGCCCAAGGCATATTCCATGCAAAAACGGAATATTTCAGATTCTAATCCTCGTTTTTTTGACATTCCATGCACTGTCAGTGAGATACAGGTCGCGCGGTAGACAAATGACCCCCTGCCCCATGTCTTGTGGTCAATCCTTCTAAGAATGTCCAATACAGATTTAAATTCAAAGAAATTCCCCCACCATATATATTTACAGTCTACTTACTTATAAACCGACGAAAGCATTGGAGAATACCGAGCTGTTAACTGTCTAAACATTTTAGTTACGTGAATTAGTTAATTAAAAAGAGTCATTGTGGACAGCTAAGCGGCCTTTGTGGGAGTATGTGAACTTCAAGTTAGGCATCAAAAGGTTCATATTATAGCAGCCGGCTGAGGCGTTGTCCGACATTAATTTGAGTAAGGAAATGTCGATGAATCATTCGGCAATTCATCCCGGCCAAACGTAATGAGGATAAATATACTAGAACTTGATGTTTTTTTAAAATCTGACTCGATTTTTGGAACATTCGCAATAATCAAAACGCCAGTAGTTGTTTTCAACTTTCTTTTCCTCTCAGGCGTCAGTGATCCTGATGTTGAAAAGTCAATTTGGCAAATACGTATTTTCGGTAACTCATCATCAGGCCGAAAAAGTTACATAGAAGTTGAAAATTCGCAAAGTTCACAGGGTTTATAAGTAACTCAGGGGTTAGTTGCACTCATCGTTCTCACGCCACCCACATGACGAGGTCGGCGTATTGTTATCGTTAGGTCAAAGAGGCATAACTTCGCATATTTTCAACTTCTATGTAATTGTTTTGGCCTGATGACGAGTTACCGAATACACGTGTTTGCCAAACTGACTTTTCAATTGTAACATGGGAATATTCGCAGATCCTGGTTGTGTTTAGGAGTCAAAAGGATTTCAGGCACTTTGGTGTATTGCGGTCATGACGGCTAATAATTCGACCGAGTAATACTAGTCTGTCACTTACGTATTTGCCTTCGGATCGTAGAACTCACAAGAGGCGAGGAAGTCGAGAGTAGCACTCTTGCCACCGCAGGCAACAATTTCACCGCCCACCGCACAGGCGCCGGCACAGCGGCGATGTTCGAGCATAGGAGCTACTCGGCGACAGCGCCTAGTTCGAACATTGTACTCGCGTACGGTATTGGTCCACTTTTTGTCTACTCGCCCTCCTAGCATGTAGATGAGTCCATCTGTCAAAAAGCATAGATAGGGAGGCCGTTGACTTTTGCATGTGAATTTGTGATGCCCCAGTGAAGCCACATAGAGCTCATGAGGCGGGACAGTGAAAGACAATTTCTTACAACTTTATGCAGCATAAGTCTCATAATGTCTCACGGTTCCTTTGCATACAGTACTCGTCTGGTTTCTGGCAACTACAGAAAACTGGAAGTTGGTTTGACTGCCGACGGACGTCAAATGAGGTAATTCATTCGACCTTCTCGCTCAGGTTACTCTGTAAGTGACGTTAAGGCGTTTGGGGAGCGGAAAGCGCAACTAAAGCCTACGCTACTCACGTCATCTCTGTACTCGACCGTCGGCACCAAAGATGCTTAAAGGTAATTCTGGCGCAGTGTTCCTGCCCTAACGTCATAGTATTTGAAAAGAATTATCCAGGCGTGTAAACCGAAGTCAGGCCTCAGTCATCTATTTTCAGCATCTTTGAAAGCATTAGAAATCTTCATTAAAGGATGAAAAACTGTGATGTCTATACTCTTATCTATCGATAATAGCCTTCTTCTACCAAATTTTCTCAAGGAGCGTCGAAGTTCAACTGACACGACTCAGTGTTGTCCACGGAAGAGGCGCGGAATGTAAACCCATAGCGGTCTGGTTTAGTAAGCATTACGGGGTCAACTGTGTTGTGGCACGAATAGAGGGGGATTGGCGTCAGTTCAGCTCCTGAATACGATCCCCACTCCTCCTGATCTAGTATGTTATCTGGTGCAGGATAGGAGGTTGGGGTCAAGTACACGTGACCTTCTCCTAGGATTGTCCTACTTACTCACGTAAAGCATTCATACTGCCTCGGAGTTCATAGTTCAGTAGGTTGCCATGCCAACGACACAAATCAATCCATGGGCATGGGAGCTGGGCACAATAGATTCATACTTAGCGGAACCGTACGGTAAGTTTTGTCGGCATGAACGGGTAGGCGAACTGTGCTTTACGTCGGCTGAGGAATCAGTCGGTGGGCGGCACGGGACAGAGGGTCAATGCATCCGTTGGCAATTCTACTTGTCTTATCTTTTCTTACACCCAGATCCGGTAGGGTCCAAGAGGAATGCGAGGCTGACACTGACAGAGATTTATATGTAATACATCTGTTTGCACGCAAAGCATCAATACACCCCCCGGCCGTAGGACCGATTACGTCCTGGGTATACCTAACGTGATTAATGATTACCTTGAAACAACTTGGTTGATCGAAGGATCCCCGAAAGCTGCACTTAGTTTGTGTTCAAATTGGAAGTGGAGCGCCTGGCCCCCATAAATGCTGAGCAGATAGTGCATTAAATCGGAGGCTTCACCTTGACTCCTGGCCGAGGTCAAATTGGTCGCACCGACTGTGCGTTTGCATCTAATTAGTCCTTTCATGCGCGTGATACAGGTTAGATGGCAGCTCACATCTCATTAGTCCCTGCGTCCAAGCTCATTTCCGGTCGGCTTTACATAAACGGGTCACGGACACACAAAAGAAAAGGGGGACAACGATACGGATCCATCTGGGATCCAGCACATATTTTCCTACAACTCCCCTCCCTGAAACCTTACTTATTTGGATTTAGGAGTCCGCATGTGTGCTGTAGATTTACACAGACCATCCGTCTTACTGTACCTGCTATTTTAGGCAAAGTAGGCTTGGGAATTGTGAAGGTGATAGATGAGGCGAAAGTCTTCCTCACTATAAACAAAGTCGTGCACAAATGACCACTGCGTCTTCCAAGCTGACCAGTGGTTGACCTTGTCGGCTGTGATGGCTGAGTCACCGAGCAGGCACTAGGAGCATCAGACCTCGGACTGCTATAAACCGACCGGCCATTCGCTACTAGTATTACCTTAAATCCCCGCCCATCGCTTGCGTAAACCTATCGTCAGCAATTACCGGCCGAAAAGGGGAGCACAGGGACTCCTGTCATGCGGGAGGAATGTCAACAGAGACTTTATTGACGGGGCAAATGGAGGCGGAAATAAAGGGAATCTGTAGAACGCACTGAAAAAAACTCGAAATTCTGCCCAAATGTTGGTTTTATTACTCCGACGAGGTGCCGGAAGGGACTGTGCAAGTTGAAAGATGCGAATTGAGAACGCCTAAACAGGAGGAAAACAGGTTACCCGTAGTTGTTACTTAATAATAGCTGGACTGTGTAAGACGGTATGCGACAGGAAAACTTAAACTTCACTCTAACCTTAGCCAAAACTCCAACACCCCCAAAGCGTAAGCTTAATCGTAACTTTAACCATTACATAACGAGCCTACGTAAACGAAATTAATAGGCCTAGTCTAGGAAGAAAGTATAGGCCGGGCCACATACGCAAACCTTGCAGGTTCATCTGCTAGGAAAAAATATCCAATTATTTTATTTTTTTATCTTCTTTTTTATTTATTTTATGTTTAAGGCGTGACGGACCACCTAAAGCTCTGATAATGTCTCTGCCAAACGTACTGCTGAAGGTCAAGCACTGGGAAAAGTATTTTTCGTATCTGGCTCCTAAATCAGTTCAGGTGACAATTGTCAGAGTAGTTTGGAACTGGAATCTGAACGGCATTCATTGAACAGATGCGTAAAGCTAGCCCCTGCACGAAACACTACATCGCCCAGCTGTGAGTTGCACGCCAGTTCCCTGTGGCAAGTACCTTAAAAATCGATACAGCAACTCGCAGCGGCGGGGTGTGCATCCGATAGGTTAAGCAGTAATCCAGGCCACATGTTCTGTCGCTTTTGGCTTGCCTCGACGCCCAAAGCTTAGCGCGGTGGGCTGCCATTCCAGTGCTTGACTGTTCTGCATCTTCTCTGAGGGATGGATTTCTTGGGTTGCATGTGCCTCTCAATCAGGCATTCCGTCCTCTTTAAATTCCCCTCAGTTGGTTTTTTCGATTGGACTGGTTCATGGCCACCCCACTCCGCCAGCGAAAGCAGTATCTTTGGCACTGAGTTAAAAAGAAGTCAACACTGACTCATGGAATGCATTGGATGAGATGTGATAAGCCCGGGTGAGACCCTACTTACTGCCTTACGTGATTGTAGCACACGCTGTTTCAAACCGTTTGTATTTTAGGTGGTCTAGAGGAATATGTGACAGAGCAGACTACTTATAAGTAAAATCATTCCATGTTCCTTTTTGTTATGCACAAGACTAAACAATAAACTACCCTGTTGACGAGCTCTTTTAAATAAGCATTTAACTTGCCTTTTTGGAACATTCTATGATGACAAACTACAAAAAATGATAGGCCCCTTATTTTTTAAAATCACTCTAAGTTGGATCTTGACTTTCTCGCACAAATGAGCTCAGCCTTTATGCTGGCCAGCCTATTCTTGGAGAACTCGTTATAGAAGGCACCAGACCGCATTGTGTCATGAAGTTAGAATTTCGAAATTTTTTGACCAATTTGAATTTCACGTGCATTAGTTGTCTGTTATTCTATTGCATGTTTTCTGACTTTGTTGTCTTCACTTTTATGACATTCGAAACATCTCATTGTCATAGCGTAATAATAAGTTCAATCAAAAATAGGACCATCGTAGCGAGTTTGTCCTTCTCCTTTTTCTCACTGGTGCCAATTGTGCCGGTTCTAGACGTGGGAGCGTTGAAGAGGCTTGTGAGTGGTTGGCAATCATTCGGCACATTTCGTGAGTTGAGTCACGCGCTGTATTCCTTTGCAAACTGCCCAATTCAGCATTTACCACCATGAAAGAATGTCACGTTTGTCGTTCACAGTCGGCTGCACGTGGATCTGCATGTCAGCCTACAACGTCTATATCTGCTAATTATATTTCCAACCTCAAGCACGCAAAATATCACTTTCTAGCTAGTTTTCTGCTTACGGTACTGCCGTTAATCCTTTAAGAACGCCAGGATGGAATTTTCCACCCGTCCCCTGAAGTTGCACAGTGATCTGTAAATATCAGCTGACCTACCCCTGACAAATTCAATTACGCTACACACCTAGAACTGCTGAAAATTACGCTTAGTCAGCAAATGCCTCCCAACCAAATGCACGGGACCTGTATTCATCGAGCTGCGAGAAATACCTTAATGACAAATCGAATACAGGATAATTTGCGTCTTATAAACCCCCCGGGTTTCGTCAAGTGTGTGCTGAAGAGTTCGACAGTGTAGCCTCAATTTAATTTATCTAAATTTTGCTGGTTTTGTTTCAGTACAAACACAAACTATGGCTTTTGACTTGGAAAGTGGCACTTTTCTTTCTGTTTTATAAACTGATTTCCAAAGTGAGGCAAAGAGAACGGTGATTGTGGTTCTAGTACACGTTTGGGCAGTGCACCCTAATTGGAAAATTAGAAAAAATCGGATTCTAGTCCCACGTATTGACTTCGAGATACCCTATGATGAATTCAATGTCTTTACGCAAAACTACTATTTTATGGCCTTACAAATGAAACTGTAACTAGCCAGCTAATTTGGAAGGGACAGCAAGGAGGTTGCAGGGGTTGCAGCTAACAGTACATCCGGTCAGCATGCTTTGAAGTTCCCTGGCAGAGACGCGCGCAGCTTGCTACAATTTGTGGAACAGAACAAAACCACGCTCTCCACCAAGCAGTATTTTAGACCACTGAGCTAACTCTGCTAATTTAAAGTTCGCAACCCATCCTTGTTTGATTTTTTTTCACTGAAATTAGTGTCTCGCGATTCTTTTTGTTCTTTAGATGCAATCGATTCATATCTTCGAGTGAATAAACTGTGAGGTCAGCCAGCCGCCAAGTTGTAACACTATCGTGCACAGTAAGGCAGAACCTTGAGTTCAGCATGACCACTTGATTTAGTCAGCATTGACAAAAGCAGGGCAGTTTATTTAGGCAGTAGTCTGATTGCGAGACGGAACGAATATCTGATTTTACAGAATCACACCGTGACCTACCCCCCCCCTCCCTACCGTCACTGTGTAATCCTGCTGCGAGAATAAATTGGTAATCCATCCCTTCAAACATGGGCGGCCAGCTTATTCCAACCGTATTCCGTATTTGCGCTGGGCACCTACTTCTGCACTGCGGTAGCTCAATCTGCTAACTCTGCCGCGATGTCCGCAGTTTGTCGTCATCTCAGCCGGTCTTTTGAGGATATGAGTTTTGCCGTGAAGTCCCAGAAGATGAGCAGTTCAAATTACCATCGGTAAGTTGCATTGATTGTCACACAATGTCGTCTTCACTTAGGTGGCCCAGTTTTATGGACTCAATCTGGTTTGTTTCTAACACCCGGACACTCGAGGGTGATAAAGCCAGACAACATCTTAAAGAGGCTTGGAGGGAAGTAAGGATACTTAATTATGCTGGCTGTACAATTTATGCTCTGATATCAAATTACCGCCAACAAAACCAGTCCAACATGCTCTTTAGTTTGTACTTTGAGAGCAACTGTGGCTGCCTTTGACAATATACTAGCATCGGAGCTCAAAAGCACCAACATTTCAGTACAAAATTAATTTTAAAATTATTTGGTCAGAAATCCTTCTCTCTAGTTAATTGCTACGACAAGTAGTATCACAATTGAACTATCAGAAACTACTAGTAAATCATCGGTAGTTACATTGGAAATGCCATGACCTTCTGTTCATTGATCCATCCATCTAAATAAGTCGCGCGCCTAGCATAGAAAATAGCCGCTTATCACCTGAAACAGGGTTCACCGGGATACGATTACTAGGGATCTGACAGTTCAAGCTGAACTTTCATATGCTTATCTCAAATGGCCGACGAATCCGGCACACTCTCCACAATATAAAGCCGCCACTTTGAAAGGATTCTTGGCTTTCTATAGATAGTACAGCTCACTTAGCTAAATACCACGGAAACCATCGAGTAGTTGAATCTCTGCCGCTGCGTTCTCATACAACCTTTCTTCGCCATAAGGTCCGGGCTGTTATTATTATTTAGTAAAAGACTCACTTTCTGCCGCAACTATGAGAGAGTCAGGCCGTGACTTCATGCGTCTAGTTGCGACCGTTTCTCCAGCCTGAGGATTATAAATGCAAGCCGACCACTCGTCTTCTGCGAGGCCGTAGGTGGGACCAAAGAGCAGGAGTTCCTCCTCCGCATACTGCCGCGGTCGCTCCTTAAATGGCGCTGCTCTGCCAGGCCGGGATCTGGGCCAGGAGATCCATAATTCAACCCTTGAGAGCAGTGTCCTAAAAAATGAAGAAAAGATATGGTGACTTCCGGCAATTCAAGTCGCTGGCTTGGTTGATTCGGCGATTTATTTGAGGCAAGTGCCCGAGAACATGCACAATTCGTTTGCGTAACCATCGTTTTTATCGCGTCGTAGGGGTACAATTCAGAGCTTAACTGGAACGATGCCGAGAGGATAACCCGATTTTGGACAGTCAACGAGATGTTCGACCGGCCGCAATTTGATTCATTCAGTCTGCATAGACCAGGGTGGACCTTTTGATCAGGACTGTCCGAGAGGAAGTGAAAGCGTGGGAAATTTCGACCGGTGCAAGCATGGAAACTGACGACGCCAGGGTCAATTGTACGGCAGCGGGTGTATGATAGGTGGAAAGAGAGAGAGAGAGAGAGAGAGAGAGAGAGAGAGAGAGAGAGAGAGAGAGAGAGCAATAGATGTGGCCCCAGCGTATAATTTTGACTCCAATAATTGTGTTCAGGCAAACTTTTATCGGTCTGATGGTGTATTAAAGTCATTCGCTCGCAAAAAAACACTTGATGTTCTATTTGTCCAACCGATTCTCGCGGGTATTCTGAAGAGAGGTTGTTTTTAATATAGGTAGTTGTCTCTTCAATGGCTGTGATTGAAAAACCTGACCACAAGGGATTTTTAGGGCTATGAAAATTGTTTGTCATGTCCGCTAACGTCTGTGCTAAGGCAGGACAATGTAAAGATACAGAAATGAAAAGATATACTTCCTAGTTGCTGCGATTTGACCTCGGCAAAAAAGTCGAAAGCAGCTGAGCTCATGGGACCACTTACGCCGTTGTTGGACTCTGTTTTGTAGACCGTGAGTTTGTTGTCTTTAAAAAGGGTAATCTGAGAAAAAATTTATATCAGGCCTTCCAGAAAATTCATGGTCGGATGTAGGTTGGTAGTCCTACATGAAATTAACAAACCCCAGTCACCTCTAATACGGGACCAAGGATAATAGAGGTTTTTACAGGTGGGGCTGGGGAATGCACAGGAATGAGTTCAAGTAGTTGTATGCAAAATAATAGCTATTGGAAACGTGCGGTTGTACTTTGAATGGATGACAAATATTTATGCTAACTCCTAGCTATAACCCCCAAACCTACAGCCTAATCCCTAACCCTAACCTTTAACCATCACCCCTAACACTAACCGCCTAAGCCTTACCCCTAATCCCAACTCCAACAGTATTGTACCCATCAGGTGGGGCTACCAAACTACATCTTACCTTAATTTACAATCGAAAGAAATCTGCAAAAGTTCCCATTTCAGGGTTCTACCATATAACGAAAGGCTGACTGATTATTATACACGCAATTTTATTACAAGCATTATCAGAGCAGCTTAGGTAACACCCTACGTAAGTGAATAAAGGCACACTTTTCTGTCCTATCAGTTTGGATCAAACCAGTTGCTCAAGCTATCTTCTCAAAACTGGTATCCACAAGAGTATATGAGTCAGTACATGAAAAATATGAGACAGGGGAAGAGGAGATATACACCTCCAATCGGACAATCAAACCGACAGTAGCGGTGAATGCTTCGCTCACACCAAATATTTGTCTGAACTCATGGAAGAAGTGGCGATCACAAGCGCAGCACAAACAGATGACTGCATTAGGTAACTTATTCGCGCAGTCAGGGGAGGGGATTGACTGTTAATGTAGGAAAGTGTTTAAAAAGTGTCCCGCGGTGTCTGCGATGCGCCATATTATTGTTAAACATAAGGACCTGCCTGTATATGTACGTGAATACCAATGAACAATAAGGACGCGAGAACACCTGTTCCAGTATCCATGTCTGACCTCGACCTCGACACGGACCATCACTCTGCCTAAGATAAAACTTTCATTTTGACGCATGCAACACTAAGAATGGCTAAATATTTATCGGATTTATATAATCGGCGTAATAACGCATCAATCGGAATAAAAAAAGGTGTCTCATGGGAGCAGAATAGCTGACAATTCAAGCGATCTGATGACATACAAGGAATGCTCTGTGACAGCGACGAAGCATTATCATTAAAATTTTAGCCAAGTTAGGGACCAAAGGTCGTTTTGCAGACTTATCGTACGCCTAAGATTTGCACAACTAATCATGAGGCTTGGAGAATAGAGTTTGTTGCATTCCAAGAAAACTTTTTAATTTCAAATAGTTTTTGTTAGAATTATTATAACATGCACACACATATATGTAGATGTACTGGATAACCGTCATCCCAAGAAATGTAATGAGAAACCGGGGAGCTTCTTTGGGATTAAAATAACCTTTACTTGTGTAAACGTTCGAGACTAGTTCCCCAGCTCGTCATCAGACCTTTGGGTCATGTACAAAAGCAGTCGACTATTTGTCCGTGTCGAACAAGTGATTCTGTGTTTAACCGAAGCCTGCGCCAGTGCGCCTCAACTACATTTCCTCATCCCCTCTGCATTAGCTGCGCTCGCCTCCATTCGCTCTTGAGAAATTAGTACGTGGTATCTAAATCGATATGTTGATTGATGCATGCCCTATCTGAGGGCATTGCTTCCAAGAATTCAGGCTTCGGCCAACCACAGAATCACTTGTTCGACTCGATAAAATAAGTAACTGTTTTTGTACATGATCCAAAAGTCTGATGGCGATCGTGAAAGTCTACGCAATAAACGTTATTTTGTTTCCAAAGCATCTCACCGCTTTCAAATTACATTCCCTGGGATTCCCCCAGTCCAACACATATATATATGTATAATATTTGGATTTAAACCTGTTCTTTATAATAACAGAAAGAGTTATTTGATAAGGTTTAAAAGTGGTTTCTTATGTCGTCGTTAGACTCTGAGTAAGTATATAATAAAGCAGCTAAAATTTCAGACATGTCCAAAAAATCGATACTGATCCGACGTCTGCGCCAGTAAGCGACCGCCGTATGCGTGATTCTTATCGATTAGTCCACATCGTTTCCACTTTCCCCTTAAATTCTTTTACACGGCTTCTTACTCAATATGCTGGTTGCAACATGATTCATCTGCGTGCATGGCTTCGAAAAACTTCCGGTCATTTTCGATAGGTTGGCGCTGACGGTGCGAGTTGTGGAGCATGAGAAGGTTATCCGGTATCTAGGGCATACACGGCCAGTTGAAATTAGTGTAATTGTCACTTAACTGTCATTGGATGTTGCTACATGCGTGTAGCGGCGGGTTTTCTAGTTTGCCCACAATATACAACGTCGCAGGCATCTCATTGGGTCTTGTAGACGACTTTCTTCTTATGCAGATAGTCAAGCCCTTCCTTGGGCGCAGTAGCCGTTGGTCTAAGCGCCACTTGTCTTTGGTGCTTTCTCAATGTCTTTCAACGAGTTCAAGCCCATTTTAAATGTAAAGTAGGATTTGTCAAGTATTTGCTTTGGAGGTCTGATTGGAACTATTCAGTTCTTGTTCTTTTAACTCGTTTTATTTCTATTTGAAATTGCTTTCACTTTCCATTTGTTTCTCCCTTTCACGCATCCCCTTCTTAATACACCTCATAGTTAGCCTTATTTAAGTGATTTCTAATGTCCCCATTTTCCGGAAGTCTAGTTATCTGTAAAAATTAACTATTTTTTATGCCAGAATTTACTGAACTATGAACCCAACAACATCTTCTTTTAAAATTAGACCTTTTCTACTGCTGTAAGACTTTGCAGAAGGCGGTTTGGACGGATTTTACCCTATAGGGATTCACTCATGCAGCTTTTAACATTTCATGAGTTATCATATGTGCTATCTGCGTATGTATATGATTAGAGACACGGATTGGAAAGGGCGTGTGGTTATCTCTGGGATATACATCCACACGGCAAACCATAGCATTTCTTAATCCTATGCATCTGACGCTTCCGAATCCATCATTACACGCTACTATTCGTGACTTGGAAAGCCGCCAATCGATGGATACCTCGGCCCTTTTCGAGTGTTGAAATGCAACGACTGCTACTTAGAGTAGTCTTTCCGGCATTCTCACCCACAGGATATCAGACCTGTTCTTATAGCGGTCCGCTTTATGCTGTGCAGATTGTCCGTGTGGCACTCGTTAATGGACCGTTCGGCTCTACCGGCCATTACACCCGAACCATGTTCGGTTGCCTCGACCTTGCTTTGTCGTCGGAACCAGGTGTGCGAGAGAGGCGAGAATGTGGTAGACGGTACACAAGTTGACGCGCAAGTCGCTAGTGCTGCGCATACCCCGTGAGGCATGCGGTGGACCTCGTCGCTTCGACGGCCGCACCGGCATATGATTAAGGCCAACTATAAAAAAGCGCGTGCACTTTAAGAAGACAACGGGGACTTGACCTGTTCTGATAATATACGGTTGGCAATACAACTCGCGAAATTTCGTAACCAGAATTTTAATGAGTAGTATGGCGTACTTTGGATTTCGTCATTTTTCGATTAGATTAGACTTATTCGTGTAGTACGCGTCTTTTATTATTTTCTCATTTTCATTTACGCCCGTTCACTAAGCAACCTCATATTTGGCATTAGGTAAGTGGCCCGTAATTAAGTGGTTTCTGAAATCTCAATCGTAGGCAGAACATAGTCTTGAGTAATAAACACTACTTTGCAGACAAACCAAAGCCTACGTTGAAGAACTGTGCTTTTTTAATACTAACGCGTTCGAGACGCAGAGTTGGCAGAGTTTGAGAAATTTACGACATCTCGCGAGTCACACCATCTTCTGTATGTGGTCATCGGCTCAAGCCTCTCCGGGGACTACTGACCTCGTCAAATATATCATGTGGCGTTTCCTTTCAAGTACTTACCGACACTTCTTGTGACTATTTAGGACTGATTGTTCTGCCAGTTGAGAACGAAACTCCCGCTCCGTCTGTCCCCACCGAACGGCGGCCAGCAGAGTGTGCAGCCTCTCCAGACGTGCCGGCTGTCCATCAACTGAGGTCCAGTTCAAAATGGCCTCTACCACCTGCTCCTCGTCAGCCGCTCTTAGGTCGTCGCTTTCAAGGAGGCTTAGGAAATCTTTGAAGGGCAGAGCGCGAAAGGATGGTGAGCGGATAAATTCAGTAAATTCCGTTTTCATCATGTCCAAACATGCAAGACGCAGCTGAGTAATGCCTTCGTGATGCGCAAACTCCCAGTTCTCCAGCAGTCTGTCTGGGCTCAGCCTACGCGTGGAATATTACGGTGTCCCTACAGGATCTTACCTTTCAGTCATAAATTGGCAGCACCATTCAACAACCACCGTCAGTCCCAACTGTCTGGCCACGACGAGAATCTGCCTTACTGTATCTTCATGAATCTCTATTTTGCCCGTATAGGCATATGCCACTATGGCTTTGACGGCGCTTACCAACTAAATATCACAAGTTGAAGGCGGAATCATACCTAGCCGATGTCCCGGGCTTGTTCATACACATAATGGGTCCCAGAATCTGACCCTTGAAGTTTGGTATCCGCCCGGCCAAGATGACTTTGTGAGCATTGATTACCTCATCTCCCCGCAGCTATTAGAATAAAAGATGAAAATGAACGTGCTTTGCTTCAGGTTTACTTACATAAATTTGGACATCAGTAAAGCAGACATCGGCTCGAAGCTTCTCAAATGAAGGGCAACAAAGACCCAGGGGTATTCTATCTTTGAATTCCACCATCCCAAAGCTCGCTGGGCTAAGCTTTCTGAGCCGAAATCAAGATAAGCACATTAAATCCGTGCTGAGATGTTGCTGAGAAATTCGCACACCAGTTGAAAAAGACAGTGATTGGTTGGTTCAGTAATGAGCAAATGAGATTTCAACTCTTCGCTACGATGGGAATCCGCGTGCAGTTCGCACATGCTTACTTGATTTTTTCGACGGTACCAACTGACTCAGGTTTCTTTTCTATCGTAGCTTTGCGTTTTTACCCAACGAAAATGCACTTCGGGGCCTTAACACGATTTTTTCCAATAAACCTTCCCACAAGATTTGGGCGGCGAGAACGAATAAAGACAGTAACCGCGCTAGCACGATCCGCTTGGCTTGACAAATCCATCATCATAAAACCGTAAGCGAAAAAGAAGGTATGCACGAGAAAATTATGGTCCTAGCCTTAGGGATAGTACGCCAGATGCAACCAAAACCCTTCATACTACAGCACAAACGGAACTGTCGTTCAACCTAGAAGCCGTTTATCTTGTTGGCCAGAAAAAGGTTCCAGGTTCCTTTTCGGCGCTTACGCACCGTGTCTTGTGCGCCGTATACTACCAAACAGAACTGTCAGTCGGTAAAACAAGGGAATGGGGACCTCCTCACTTAGTACAACTTATTTTGTGCTAAATTCCCGAGAGGGTTCTTATCCTCACACCCTAATCCCACTGTAATTAAGCGTAAGGCTGCCTCTATTACGGAGTGGTTCCCTATTCCTGTGGATTACCCTTCAGGCTTCTGCATATAGAGGATTTGCCTTAAAACTCCGGCGCAAAAGTGTGTTAAATTAGAAACAAGGTCACTTTATCGTGGCTGTTTTAAGGCATTGGCCTAGAAAGTTGAACAAACGTACTCTGTCAGTCTATGACATTGATTGTTTGGAGTAATTCGTCTCTTGACCATGTCCGAGTGCGTTCTGACTGCTTATAGCTTCTTACTGCCAAAATTTGCAAATTTCGTCCCTGTCTAAACAACACTATCCGATGAATTATAACTACTTGATTATAACTGAAATAAAACAGGATAAAGGAGCTGACGAAAATACCCCTCAAATATTGCAATGACACACTCAAAGATTCATTATTTTGCAAAATAATACATTTTAGCGGCATGAAGTCATCTGTCGCTGGATTCTGCTGTTGATCCTGACAATCGTTTAGTAAATATTGACCTACGACCACCCTACCATATTTTTATGCAGATTACGAGAAAGGTTTCGCGACCTCTCTAAACGCTCTGTCAATTCTGAAATGGTGAATAAGAAACGCGGACGGCGTTGGCTAAAACACGTTTGCTAAAAAACTGAAACTTCGAACGACCGAATCGGCCGTTCTAGGACAATATCCCATGAGATTGTCGACACACATAAGAAGGGTGGTCGGCATCGGCCATTTCACCTAACCGGCACTTCGACATCTCTTTGGTCTAAAATCCTGGTTAAAATCCTGGTCATTTGTTGTGTAGACCATGGTGAGTGGAGTGAAAAGCCAAGGTGCGGATTCGACCGTGCCATCCATCTGCGCCCTCCCCCTCCTCCTGTCTTTTTGACTCTGTCTTGACACCGTGTCCGGGTAGGGAGTTGGGAATAGAGAGTGCGGTAGATACTGCGCAAATCTACTACCACTTTAAACTAATTCACGCGCAAGTCACCGTCCCTGCTCTAACCTTGCTGTGTAGCACCCGATGGATATCGTCAGAATCCACGATCGAACTGTCCATGATTGTTTGTTCGTTCGCACACGAGTCGATAATTGCCGGAATTTAATCACCGTTGTGGATTCTGGGCACGATAATTACTCGACAATTTGACCCGCTTTCATTGTAATTGTCGGTTGCCTACGCCTAACCACATGGCTAATTTTTGCCCAGGCAAAGCCTCGGCAAAGACTTGGGGCCCAGGAGGTCATTGCGCCTGTTGATCGACTGGGGACTGAACAACCATGACTCAAACAGCTCGCGGCTCACGCAGTTGTCGTCTTTTGCGATAAATTCGGTCTTATCAGTCGTGAAGACGTGGCGGGATCCCGTAGAATGCGCCGCGATTTGGGGGGGCCAGAGTCATTCCTCTTCAACGCTACCGCATGTTTGGCCATTCGTATTCGGAGTACTCTCCTAGTTTGTCCGACGCGGTTACTTTGTCCGCAACTGCGCCAGATCCAGTAAATAAATCCAGACGTTTATTGCCGTGATAGTGGGTTTTTAGACCTTATGACTTGGCGTCTGATAGTTGCTTTTGGTCTGTGTACATTTCCACGTGATGTGAACAGACGACTAACGGTATCCAAGATGTTCTTCACGTATGGGGACGCTTTCCAAAATTTGGGTGCGGTTGGATTAAGTCCTCCTCCTCATTTGCGCATTCTCCGGTTGACGAAATTGCGCGGATAACTATTAGTTCCGAGCACTAGTCGAAGATATTGTATTTCAACAATCTCGTTTTCCGGTACACTGTAATGTGGCTCAATACGCCGTCATAGCGTCCTTACGTAGTTGTGTTTGTGGCTGATTCGATGATTGCTGTTAAAGTTTGTTCTTGCGTCTTATTTGTCGCCCTTTCGTGCACTATTTTCTGGGGCCACCGTGATCCTTGCAGTAGACAAGGACACCAAAGTGGGTTAACCGGTTGTTCTCTTCCTCCTCCATCGTAAACAGTATGTCAGGGAAGGTGACGCGGGATGTACCCTGAGCGCCGGTACCTGATACCGTTCTATGCAGACGAAGATGTCTTCCACATACTACGGCCTGAATGCCAATCTGTGGCGTCGGAAGACCAACGACTCCAATCGTTGTAGGACCACCCCACCTATGAATCACAAAATCGTTGAACCGATTGGCGTACCTTTCATCTGCTCGTAGATTGTTCCGTCTTCATACGGAACTTCAGGATTTGGAGAATTTGAGCGTGTCCGTGGGGGTTCTCCGTTTAGTCTTATTCATTCTCTAGGAGTAAGTAGGTGGTCTCGACTGCCAGATCTTGTGGAATAGTAGTAGAGTGGGACGTGGCACTAAGTGATACCATGACGCCATTTGGCAGAAAACTTACCCCTTAAGTCTCCCCAAGAATTGTTTTGACGAGCTGATTGTGGTATCCGTATCAGCGTTCAGAAATTGGGAACTGGAAAAAGCCACTTTGTCAGTCCGTTAGCTGGAGTGCCTTTGAGTTATACGATGAGTCGGAGAGTGTCAGTCTCTTTGTGTACTTTTGGGAAACCATATATCAGACCAAGGCCGTCTCTTGCGCTCTAGCCACGCGTCGGTCAATCGGTGATATTGCACCCGAGTTCCAAATGCCAAAGGCGTCGCCTTAATTTCACGTGTCAGCCTTTTTACGGGATTGGTTTCACATGAAGCACGGAGCTAAAGATGCTCCTATAGGGCTTTGGCTTTCAGAAAGTTTAAAGTTCGAAAGTCACACGATAGGCTACCAAAGGCGTAATGCACTTTCTGTGCCCCCATCAGCCATATTTACGACTGTCTCTGATGCTGACTTCGAGTGAGAATCCGAAACGTCAGGCCGACAAGGCCCTTTTTCCAGCGAGCACATCTACTTCTGAGCTGCTGCTTGGAACCCGTCTCTTCGTTTCTATCAGCGTCGTGTCCAGCAGTTCATCAGCGTGGCCACAGACAGCCTTACATGCAGTGTGCGCAATGCCCGCAGACTTTTCAATGATGGACACTTATTTATTTTAGGGATGCAAGGGAGGTTATCATACAGTTCCTCAGATTCCCTCTACTCCTCATCCTAGAAGAGTTTTTAACATTATGTTTCGCATTCTGAGTACCTGATTAAAGTGCAGACCCCTCGAATAAGACCTTTAGCTGTTGTTTAACTTGACGTAACTTGCTCTATCTGCTAAAACGGAAACTCTGACTGCAAGTTTTAAGTGCAGACGAGGCGGTCCTTTATACGCCAAAAAGTCACATCGATAAAACGGCCGAGTGGCTTGATTTCCGCGGGCTGAGTTACGGCGTTTGTGGACGTTCATCCTCTAATTCACTTGAGAAAAGCCTTCAGACCTTTATAACTTTAAGATGTCTTTATTATTTGCAGTGAACAATTGACTTCATTGCTGAATATCCTTCGAAACCTGAAATGCTCCAGTCTTTCTTGATGAGTAGAACAAGGATTTTACGCTTTAAGTTGCCGAGGCCTTTGTGCGGTCTTTGGGTTTGACGGGGTCGACAGGATGTTCATGGTTGGTTCTTGGGTTCTTCTTATCATTGAAATCTTTGTCTACTCCCTAAGCTCTAAAAACGATTGTGTTTAGAACCTCGATCTAAGTCAACCTAAATATAAGCCTTTCTTCATGCACTTAGAATGCAACCGTCACGCCCTTATTGCACACTTGTGGGGTTGCATTGGCTCAGCAATGTTCTGCGCTTTCATGTGGTCTGAAATTCTCATGTCTCCAGCTGGCATTTTTTGGTTGACGGCGGGGCGTAACACCGTTCACGTGGACCAACAGAGACGATTTAGCACACCCAGTTACCTGTAGATCATCTGATTTAAAATGTTCAAGTCTCCGGCTGCATAGACTGAGTTCTTCATCCTACCGTGAGCCTTCTTAGCGAACACTGAAAAGCCAATCCGCAGGGAGGAAAAAGTGGTTTCATGTACGTTGGAAGGCAGCCCCCTCAGGCAGGACGCCGAACTGCGACGCACCGACAACGTCTACCCTGGGCAAGCACTTTAATGCTTCTGGCTTGGAAGCGCTCTTGTCATGACAGTTTCAAGATCAGCGACATGTGGTGCGGTGACAAGCCGCATG